CGTGCATTCCCTATAATAATTAAAAGATTTAGAAGTATGCTGTTGAAAAGAAATAGTATTTATGGACATTTGCTTGGTTCAAACCATTTCACTCTGAGGCACCGTTTTCATGGCACCAGACCAATTTCTATCCCAATAGAAACCTGTATATTGCAATGCCGGATGAATATTTGTCTATACATAGGCTATGCCTGTCTGTGGTAGCCTACCTCTGTGTGCTATCATTGTTCACAGCTATCGATGAATACATTCTTTTATTGAATTATTTAGTTGAACTGCTAACGACTATAGCCCTCCGACATACCGCATACCGAATAGATTCGGTCTTTGTTTGGCAGAATTCGGATGTGATCAGACTTTACTCGGGTGTTGCTTACGTTCCAAGTCTTTCCCGAGATGTATTCGCACAAATATTTGTTCCGATTTTGCGTTTACACGGTAACGAACAAACATTTGTCTGATACAATTTTAAACTAGTATGCTTTCGTAGATGGACAAAAACTTGCACGGATAAGTGGTCAAATACTTGTCCGAATAAAAGTGTGTCTGGTGCCGTGTACACGGGGCCTAAGAAATATAAATCTTTGCATGCATGAATGATACATGATAGCCAAGGTGAATACAATTAACTTCTGCGCACGCACCAAATATGCGCATGATGACGTCAAACGACACCTATTTACACTGGCCTATAGGGTCAAGTGTCTTAAATCCCTAATTTTCTGTTTTTTCCTGGGGGGTTTTCGTAGTCGAGAATTCGAGTTTGCGTCAGTGCATCGCAGGCTCAGGGTGCAACGATTAACCCAAAATACCATCGATAACTCGGTTCCACTATTTAAATACTTAAATACGGGAATGATTTATTTCAGCTAATCTTATAATAAGTTTATATCGTGCTTTACCCAACTCAACCTATATTCAGGCTTCAACTTAACCATGCTGATGCTGCATGGAGTAAACATGATCCAAAAACAGGATTTGTTTTGTTTTTGTTACATGAAATGATATTGTGTAGTGTATTTCTAAAGTTTGTAGGCCTACCTTTATATATGAAGTTTTTTTAGCAGACAAAATATCTGAAATGTCGCATTAATCGATAAATTGATGCTATGTGCTATACATTGATGTTATGTGCAAATACATCAATGTCATAAACCGATAGAACTAATAAAATAAACGATACAACTAAAAGATAAACCGATACAACTAAAAGATGAGGAAACGGAAGTAAATACATGTACAAGATGAGGAAGCGGAAGTAAATCGTAAAAACGGAAGTTGAGCGACGCGCTGACATCTACACAATGGCGTACGTCTCTTGCACCTCGCATTTGGCTTCGAATTCCTAATACAGAAAACTTTTTTTGTGAATTGGCTGATTTAGTAAGATATGCTGAACAAAGGTATAGCACATAACATCAATTTATAGCGCATAAACTCGATTGATACATTTTTGAGCCAAAACAATATATATATATATATATATATATATATATATATATATATATATATATATATATATATATATATATATATATATATATATATATATATATATATATATATATATATATATATATA